TTGCAGCATTATTTACCATAGCTAAGATATGGAACCAATCCAGATGCCCCTCAGTAGATGAATAGATCAAGAAGATATGGCATATATACACAATGGAGTTTTTGCTTCCTTCAGAAGGAATATAATTGCTCCATTCAGAAGGAAATGGAAAGACTTGGGGAAAAAAATTATATTAAGTGAAGTAAGCCAGACCCAAAGAAAAGTAGGTTGCATTATTTCCTTCATTTATAAGAACTAGACTATGTCTATGATATTCTTAACATGGGATCTCAATAACCCAACTGCTTAGTGCATAGGACTATATATAATGAAGCTTATCAACATGAACTCCAATATATGGAAACAAGAGGTTCTTCTTATACCCTGTATGTAGTTTGTGGGGTTTTTCTTCATTTCTCTTAGTTTTCTGTATTTTGTGTCTTATATATGATTATTTGATATGTGGAAGGGAAAGGGAATCACAGAAACAGCAGGACAAAGGATGAACCAAAGCAACATCGATACTCACAACATTGATACTTACGTACAACTTGTGGGGGAGGGGTAAGTGGGAGATTGTTACCTTCCGGTAACAATGACTAAAAACAAATGTACTCATTACTTATGTAACTGTAACCCCCCGCTCATCACATTTTCAATAAAAATAAATAATTTCTGTATGATCTTATTTTAAGCAAGGTATAGCTTTTGTTCTCTAAGTTAGAAAATTTATTTTCCAGGCTGGGCAGCTCAGTCATTTCTGCTTTCAATACAATATAAACCATCTAGCCAAATGAACCATATTCCAATTTGATATATTAAGGGAAATAATCTGCATGGCTTTCATGTGACAGTATTATTTTACTTACTATACTGTAAAATTACTTGTTTATATATACATGTCTCTAATTACCTGACTATTTTTTCTTAATTTTATTGTAAAGGTGATGTTCCAAGGGGTTACAGTTACATAGGTAATGTAATGAGTACATTCCTTTTCAAACACTGTTACTCCTCCCTTATGTTCTCCCACTTTCCCTCCCCCTCTAGCTCCTTTCCTCCCCCCAACACCAAGTTGTAGTTCATTTCCAATATAGTGTTTAGTGAATATCACTGTTGCATTGGCTCACCCTTTGTGAATCCTACTCTGTGATTCCCCTTTCTTCCCCAAATCAAATAAACTTATATGCAAGATAAAGGATACTGAAATCAGAAATAGTAACCACAAAGAATAAACCAGAGGAGAAAAAAAGAAAGACAAAAGAAATACTGCAAACAGTACACTAAAAAAAGAAAAACAAAAAGAAAGCAACAAAAAAAACCCTCTTGTTTCCATATAGTGAAGTTCATTTCAATTATCATCATTTTATATGGTCATATGTACATAGCTGTTGAGCTATTGTGATCCTCTAGTACATACCTCTAGGTGTATACTAATTATTACAAATGAGGGAAACAATGGAGCCTACTTTTCTTTGGGTCTGGGTTATTTCACTGAATGTTATTTTTTCAAAGTCCATTTCCTTATGAATGGAGCAATGGTATTCTTTCTGATGGAAGCATAGAATTCCATTGTGTATACAGACCACATTTTCTTGATCCATTCATCTGCTGAAAGGCATCTGGGTTGATTCTCTATCTTAGCTATGGTAAATAATGCTGCATGGTTGTGCTAGTAGCTTTAGTGTGGCCTTGTTTGTTCTCATTTGGGTAAATGCCCAAAAGTGGGATTGCTGGGTCATAGGGGAGCTCTGTTTAGTCTTTTGATGAACCTTCATACTGCTTTCCAGAGTGGTTGAACAACTTTACATTCTCACCAACAGTTTTTTTTTCTTTCAAAGAATTTTTAAAACAGGTAATTATCCCAAATTCTCTCCTATCCACAGTCCCTGGTGGTTACTAGGTGTTTAATAGATATTACTGAACTTAGGATTGGAAACATCAATACAGTGGGGGGGGAGGTTTTCTTTTTCTTTTTTATTGTGAGAATACCTTACAGAGGAGTTACAATTACATGGGCAAGATAACGAGTACATTTCTTATCAAGCATTGTTGCCTCCTCTTTGTTTCCCCTTTCCATCCCTTACCATACTCCCCCCTTCCCCCAACTCGATCCTCCCCCTATCCCCCACCAAAGTTTTAAAGTTCATTTTTCGACATAACGACTTGTACATCTCATTGTTGCAATGGGTCCACCTGTATCCCTAGTTAAACGATTTGTTTTTTCCCTTCCCCTCCACAAATTATACCAACATCAAATACAGTGAAAGCATGTGTTATACCGTGGGGGAGGGACATACAAAGCAACATAGAAATAATCTTATAAATATGTTAGAAACAATTGCATGAAAGGGAAAAAAACAAAAACATTTGAATACTTATCTTGGGGTTCATTCCCCTAACATCAACTTATCTGACCTTTTCTGCTTGACTCAGACATATACTAGTTATTGCAAATAAGGGACACCATAGGACCTATGTTTCTTTGGGCCTGGCTTACTTATAATTTTTTCCAAGTCTTTCCATTTCCTAACAAATGGGGCAATGTCATTCTTTCTGATGGAGGCATAGAATTCCATTGTATATATATATACCAATGCTCAACCTCTCTAGCCATAAAAGAAATGCAAATCAAAACAACATTGAGATACCACCTCACCCCAGTTAGAATGGCTATAATCAAGAACTCTAATAACAACAGATGCTAGAGGGGATGTGGACAGAAGGGAACCTTACTGCATTGTTAGTGGGAGTATAAACTTGTTCAACCACTTTGGAGTATGGAGGTTCTTCAAAAGACTCCACATAGAGCTCCCCTATGACCCAGCAATCCCACTTTTGGGCATTTACCCAAATGATCACAAACAAGACCACACTAAAGCTACGAGAATGACTATGTTTATTGCAGCATTATTTACCATAGCTAAGATATGGAACCAACCAGATGCCCTTCAGTAAATGAATGGATCAATACAGTGGTTTTATATAGTAATATATGGCCATGGACTTAATATCTATAGATTTGTTCCTAATCATATTATCTTCTTTGATAAGAAAAGTTTGAGTTCTAGGGTATGTGAACACCATGCTTTTGTTTGTATGTTTAGGGCATATAAATGATGGCTGATACTTTGTCAGGCACTGTAGTAATAGAAAAGTAATAAAATGGAAAATCCTTAACATTAAATTGCCTGAAACCTGGACAGAAAGAAAAGCCCTAAGCAAAATTGAGAAGTAGTGAATTTTTCCTTGGTGCCTCCAAAGCTATAACCTTTGTTCCTGTTATTAAGTTGTTAAGTAATTATCATATTTTATGACCACTCTACTTAAACAAACACTTGGAGAATTAATTCCATCATTATTTCCCTAGGTGGCTCAGTTGGCACTGTCTAATTGAAGCTACAGTGGGTTTTTCTGTTTCCAAGAATTAGTTGATGTTGGCTTTACCTTGGACAGTTTTGAAAGCCACAGTGGATAAAGTCTTTGTTCAGGCTGCTCTTATATAATAGCATGGACTGGCTATAAACAACAGCTCTGAAAGTTGGAAACCCAAAGGCAAAGTCCTGGAATGGTCAGGTTCTGGTGTGGCCCTTTTCTTGGTTAGGAAACCAAGGCCGGTCATCTCCTCTTGTATCTGGAGAAGGAACAGGAGAAGCAGTACATTTTATCTTTTATAAGAAGGATGCTAATCCCATCATAACATCATAACACAATTACTGCCTAAAGCCCCAACCTCAGATTCCATCCCACTAGTCATTTGAAGGAGGAGAGAACATTTAGCTCACTTCCTTAAATAACAGGGGAGCATATTCACTCAGTATAGGGAATGGAAGAATGGAAAAACTTCTGTTAGGAACTAAAAAGAAACTAGTTTTGATACCAAATGTTATTTAGAACTCTGTAATTATTAAGTACCATCTGTTATCAGAGAGATCTATGGCCTTTGTTGTTTGTTTTTGTGGCAGTGTGGACTGAACTCAGGGTCATCACAATTAGGCAGTAACTTCTGCCACTTGAGCCACAGCCCCAGTATTCATGCTTTAGTTTTTCAGAGAGGGTCTGGTGCTAACTTTGCCAGGGATTGGTTCAACCATGATCCTCCTGTTTCTACCTCTTAAAGAGATTCATGATTTTGGGTTTTTATTTTGTTGCTAGTACTGGGACTTTGAATTAAGGACCTCAGGCTTCACCTCAGACCTCTAGGACTTGAGCCACACCTCCACTCTGACTCTTTACTGGTTATCTAGGATATGAATTTCATGGATTTGGCTGTTCCAGCTGGCTAGCTTGGAGCTAAGATTCTCTGATCTCAGCCTCCTGAGGAGAAAGGATTGTGTGAGCCACCAACACCCTGCTGAGACTTAAGTTTTCAACAAATGAAGCATGTGCTGGTGGCAGCATAACGTAGTGGTAGAGTGCTTGCTGCAAATAGGAAGGTGCTCAGTTCTATCGCCAGGACTGTAGAAAAAAATGCAGCTTCTGCTTGTTACAGCATTTAATATTTATACAACAATCAAGCTACAGACTCTAATGTTCCTGGCAAGAATTGAAAGATACCATTTCAACATCCTTAATTGAAATCATGAATGCTCCAAAATCTCAAACTTTTTGAGCATTGATATAATACCCACAGTGGAGAGTCCACACCTTAACTTTTACAGTGGTGAGTTGCCATCAGAACACAGTTCACTAAAAAGTATCACATAAAACTACCTGCAGGTAACAGGTAAAAAGTCTATTAAAGAAAGAATTGTGTGGTTTCATTTGGTTAACATCATGTTCAAACAAATATTCCAAAATCTGAAATGTGGGCACCCTTGTTACCAGGCACTTCAGGTAAGAGATACTCAGCCTTTACTAGTAAATCCAGTGAATGATTTGGTACTTTATTTTTCTGGTTGTTTTTCTAAGAGGAAAAGAATGAATGAAAAGAATGAATTTTTCAGAATCAAGATGCATAAATGAAAGAAGCCTTACTACTAGGCTTTAAATGAATAATATTTGCCCCCACTTTTTCAAAGGAATTCAGAGCAAAGTCAAGAGAATGGGACAAGCAAGAGATACTGTATCAGACTCACCTGGTTTCTTTAGATGCACAACAAAAGTTACTGTCTGAAAAATGCAATCAATTCCAGGTAAATTGTTTTATACTATTATCTAATGTTTTTAGAAACATAGAGGCTAAATATACAACATTCAGTCTGTGATAGAAATGCAGACTGAGGTAAAATAACCAGAGTAGGTCTAATGGTGGGTGCAGTCATAAATACTTGAAATAGCTGTAAAGGTGAATTTACTTTACGCACCTGAAAACCTGATGGCTGTTAAAACTCCATTGTTGTTATGTCATTAAGTGAGTTGTATCTTCAGTTGGACATGGAGCTGCACCACTGTAATCCCAGCTCCTAGGAGGCAGAGGCAGGAGAATCACAAATTAGAAGATAGTCTGAACCACATAACAAAACTGTCTCAAAAATGTCATCTTCTAGAACTGCCTATTCATTCATGGCTCATTCTTTTGTGTTGAATTCTTACTGATGTGTGCAAGTTTTACACATTAAAAATTGTTAGTTGGCTACCAGTGTTTCATTCCTGTAATTGGAGGCTGAGATCAGAGGATCACTGTTTGAAGCCAGCCAAGGTAGGAAAGTTTATGAGACTCATCTCCAATTCAAAGTCAGAAGAAGTGTGGATCAAATGGTACAGTGCCAGCCTTGATTCAAAAAGCTAAGGGATAGTGCCCAGGCCCTGAGTTCAAGCTCCATTACCAATACACATAAAATTATTCACCCTTGTAATATGTACTAGTCAGCTTTTCCCCTTACAATCCAGCTGTTTCCATTTCATTTTTGTCCATAGAGGTGTGAGGTGTTTTTCAACTATTGTATAACAGAATTCAGAATTACCCTCTTGTGATAGCTTCCAGCTTCCTCGTTTCTTTCTTGACCTCCCTTTCAAGCCACCTTCTCTGCTCTGCATCTTTGCAGTGGGTTACATACCATCTGACACTACATTATACAAGCCAAGCTCTGTTTCCAGAACACATACTTGCTGGGTGCTGGTGGCTCACACCTGTAAAACATAGCTACATGGCAAACTGAGATCTGAAGATTGTGGTTAAAAGCCAGCCCAGGCAGGAAAAGCACGTGAGACTCTTATTTCCAATTAACCATCAGAAAAAGCCAGAAGTAGAAGGGTAACTTAAGTGGTAGACAACTTGTCTTTATAAGCTACATATGTCAGGCATTTTGTGATAGTGATGGAAAAATGACTAACCCATCAAGCAACCAGGGAAGAATCACAAGGAATGATTCTAGATTGTCTACCCTTTCATGATTTCTTAACCATGAAATCTCTACCACAGGCCTTCTCGGAATGAAGAGGCAGAGGACCAGAGAAAATGGTGGGGACAGAGGATTGGATTTTAGGCATAGGTGTCTATAAGGAACTGTGTTCTAATGCACTGGTAGTACATTATTATCATGTTATGGAACTAAAAGCTTAAGGACAGCACTGAGGTCCTGAGTTCAAGTCCCAGGCCTCACGGCTCATGTGTACACACACACACACACACACACACACACACACACACACAAAATTAAGGATTATTTTTGCCAATTCTTTTCTTTCATTCTTAGGCTTTATGGAAGCTTCAATATGACATTCTTTATTCATTTAATTGATTCAGTTTTCATTTTTCTCAGAAACAGGCACAAAATTACCAATCCCAACTAAATGGTAAAAAACAGTACATGGAAGACAGCAGCTCTGAAATTCCTCGTCTGGCATGTGAATCGGACCCTGGTGCTGAAACCGGTGAAAGAGATGAATTCATTATTGAAAAATTAAAATCAGCTGTGAGCGAAATAGCACTGAGCAGAAATAAGTTACAAGATGAAAACCAGAAGCTTTTACAAGAATTGAAAATGTACCAAAGACAGTGCCAGGTGAAGGTTTTTACTTATTTCCCAACTATCATTGCCCATGAGTTGTGTAAATCTTTTCTACAGAGTCACAGGGATGAGAAAGCTGGCTTTCTACTACATGTGGCAATTCAGTTCATTCTTCATCTTCATAAGCATTCTCACTTTTTCAGGAATGCTGCAAGTTCTTTCCCTGTCTGGAGTGCACTTTGGTTCTGCAGCAGCATGATAATAATGGATTACCAGTGCATTAGAACACAGTTCCTTATAGACACCTATGCCTAAAATCCAATCCTCTGTCCCCACTGTTTTCTCTGGTCCTCTGCTTCTTCATTCCCAGAAGCCTGTGGTAGAGATTTCATGGTTAGAAATTATCAAAGGTTAGACAATCTAGAATCATTCCTTGTGATTCTTCTCTGGCTGATTGATGGGTTAGTCATTTTTCCATCACTATCACAAAATGCCTGACATATGTAGCCTATAAAGACAAAAGGTTTATTTGGGATTACAGTCCATACTTTTTGTCACTGTTGCCTTGGGCCTGTGATAAGGCAGAACGAATATTTGTGGCCAGGAAGCCAAACCGGGAATGAGGAAGAGGTGAGGGGCTCTACAGTACCCTGCAAAGCTATACGTTATTGAAGGCTTCCCACTAAGCCCCCTTCCTAAGGTTCAACCACCTGCTAGCACCAGGCCTCTGACATAGAGGTCTTTGGGCTAATATTTGTGTAAGTTTCCAGAGGAAGTTATATTTTACCAAAATTATATTTTATGAACTTTTTTAAATTTAAAAAATAATTTTGGGATCTAGGAACACTATGTAAACAATGATTTTCCATCTTGTAGTTTTCAAAACAATCCACTATATATTAGGAAGTGAACCAAGATTAATCTGACCCATGTTTGGAAAAAGAAAAGATCTGTTATTCTAATGAAAAATGTTTTTTAAAAGTAACTTGCTTAAAAAAAATAAGATTTCTACTTTCAGGAAAATACTAAGTTTTTAAAAATTCATTTGGAAAATTTTTGAAAATAATGCCTTTTCCACATTTTATTTATTTCCACATTTTATTCATATCTCATCCTTTTGTTTTAGGTAAAAACAAAGTGAAAAAAAGATCAAATTATTTATATGTGTTTATTAACTTAAATGTTTAAAATCACTGCTGCTCTCAAATCATTAGGCAGATTTCTGACTAAACAGATGGGCCTTAAACTTGTTTTACAAAAGTTGTATTTGGCCAAATGGGAATAATTAGCAGTAAATAATAAGGCAACTATAATATTACATGAGAAATTCATCTTCTATTTTTGCAAAATTGCCATTTGACTGTGTTCCACATCTTGCACATGAATGCAGAAAAAAGTAATGTACTTTGAATTACTGCCATTCATTATATGTAACAGTTCCGTTAGCTTTCAACATGTTTTAACGGCAGCTGCATCTGAATTTTCCCATGGATCACATCTTCTCATTTGTCATTCTCCAACCTTGAAATGTATGTGTACATATTTTAATTCCATTGCACACACTATTTACCACGCTGTACCACACTCACCTTCTGAATGTGCAGGATTTTCCATGAGGAGCTCATGAAAAAAAAAAATAAACCATTGGCATCTTTCAAATATACCAGAATTGCTCATCTATTTTTGTCCTGGGGCTTGAACTCAGGCCCTTGCTGCTGTGTCCCTAAGCTGTTTTTGCTCAAGGCAAGTGCTCTACCAACTGAGCCACACCTCTATTTCAGCTTTTCTTTGACAGCTAATTGAAAATTAGAGTTTTCACAGACTTTCCTGTCTGGGCTGGTTTTGAACCATGATCCTCAGATCTGTCTCTTGAGTGGCTAGGATTACAAATGCGAGCCACTGGCACCCAGAAATTAACCTTTTCTGTTGGCTTGTTAATGTCTCATTAAGGCACTAGAGCAGCACTATTCAAGAAAAGCCTCAAATCCATTAGTTCCTATATCAACTCTAGTCTCCTTATTCAAACTCAAAGTCAAAAAAAATCTAAATTTATCAATATAAAAGTCCTTCAAATTTTTTTCATACACTTTTGTAACCAATTTATATAATGATATCAGTTATAGTTTAATGCTTTTGCATATTCATCTGTCAAATTATTATCTGTATAAAGAAAAGTTTTAATATTAATATATATTCTCATGCCTTTGTAGCCATGGTAAGTAACTTTATTTCTCCTTAGTATATCTAAGTGTCACTGGTGGATATTATTGTCTAGGAAGAGTAAACAGACACATGCTTTTATTATCACATTGCAGAATTTCAACCAGCTCTAGCTCACTTTCCATTGCCCTGGGATTAGTAAGGGCCCCAGGAAAAGCAAGCCCACATTTCTACACATGTTCCATGGCCATGACTATTGGTGCTTGGTTGTGCTTGGTTGAGTAAAGTAGTGGATGACACATCAAGTTAAATTGTCTCCCTACTATCTTATCTATCTATCTCAATAGCAGAGAGCAGCCAGATGCTACAGTAGCAAATAGTTCAACAGGGGCTGAGGAATTAGCTTAGTGGTAGAGTGCTTTCCTAACAGGCACTGAGGCCCTAGGTTCCATTCCCAGAGAAAACAATCAGCAATCAGGCCCAGAGACCAAGATTGCTCATATGGAGAAGCTAGAGGTAGTTTATAAACTTGTAAGTATGTGTATTAGGTGGTATACAAGTGTATATAAATGCATTAACTGAAATAAGGTAGATTCAAGGGAGAACTCAGAATAGAAAGGCAAAGGCAAAATTCAAAAAAAATAAAAACTGGAAAATGGGAACTTGGATGGGGTAGGGTCAGGAGAAAGGTAAATAAATTAAAAGAAGTGGGGAGGAGAGAATGCAGTCAAATAACAATGAGATGTACAAGACACCATGTTGAAAAACAAACTTTACAATTTAGGCGGGAAGTGGGGGGGAGTGTAGTTGTGGAGGTGGGGAGGGAAGGGATGGTAGGAGAAAAACAAAGGAGGAGGCAACAATGCTTGATAAGAAATGTACTCATTACCTTTCTCGTAACTATAATCCCTCTGTACAGTATTTTCACAATAAAAAACTTATTTAAAAAATCAACCTATATCCTACAAAATTAAGAAAAGCAAGTAAAGGGGTAGGTTGGGAGGGGATGAGTGAGAATGTTGAGAAGGGTGGCATTGATCAAGGTGCACTGTATTCATAAACTACTTTGCTCAATGGCAACTCCTTTGTACAGCTAAAGGTAATAAAAAGAAAACATTAATCATAAAAATAATATAATTTAATTATTTTTTAAATTAGTAGGTATGAACCTGAAAAGGATATTCAACATTGCCTAACTGCATTTTTCCAATTGGCTAACTGTCCTGTTGCCTTTGTAAGCTTTCAAACCTTCACTTTCAAAATTCATTCCTGTTCCTGCCTCTTACCTTACTTCCACAATAAACAAATGATGTAAATTTTTTGTTTGTTTTTGGGGTTTTGGAGTGAGGTATGTGTGTGTGTGTGTGTGTGTGTGTGTGTGTGTGTGTGTGTGTGTGTGTGTGTGTTGGTATGGGGGTTTGAACTCAGGTATTCTTACTTGGCTTTTTCGCTCAAAGCTGGCACTCTCCCATTTCAGCCACTCCTCCACTTCCACCTTTTTGCTTGTTAATTAGATATAAAACTTTTTTTGACTGGGATGGCTTTGAACTGAGATCCTCAGATCTTCAGCCTGCTTGAATAGCTAGAATTACAGGTGTGAGCCACCAGTGATTCATCTGTTGATGCTATCTTTTATTCAGAAAAAAAAAAGGGCTAACAGATAGCTAGTTTGTTCATCTCTTCACATCCAGATGTAGAAATTGGTCAAAGGTTCATCTCCAGGATCCTGCTTTTAGGAAGTTCTACTTGTGCTCAGAAATTCGACACATTACTATTACCCCTCTTCTCTCCTAACCCATCCTGCCAAGTAGCGTCTGAGTTTGTCAAGTGCCTCTGGTGATCAACACATGGCCCCCACAAACTCAGCACAGCTGCCACTGGTTTACAATGCATTGCTTTCCAATTTCACCATTATTCTGATGGCTTTTGTCAATGGGTGGCTTTCTCAAATGGAAAGTATTTTCATCAATTCAAATTTTACACATATTTTATTTGAGCTTTTATGTTTCATTCTTTTAAGTTTATATATATAAATATATATATATATATATCGCCATATTTATGTGATGATTCAGTTGTGCTTGATTGTTCTTTATGCTGGACGACAGGCTTAGTGAAGACAGTTACATTGTCTGCATTCCCAGAGTGAGTAGAGCTCGGTAAATATTTGTTGAGTAAATGAATGATGGAATGGGTGGGATGCTGTAAGACAGAGCAAATAAAGACTAAATTTTAGTTCTTTTGAAAGAAATCTGGTTTATCAATGGTGGGTAGTTTAAATGTATCATATGTAATAATGTAAAAAATGGGCATGAAACATTTTTCATATTTTTATTCAGGCCATGGAGGCGGGACTGTCAGAGGTGAAAAATGAGCTGCAGTCACGTGATGATCTCTTAAGAATTATAGAAATGGAACGACTGCAGTTACACAGAGAATTACTGAAAGTAGGGGAGTGCCAAAACATTCAAGAAAATAAAAAAAGGTATAGTCCTCATATCTTACAGTCTGAGAAAAACCATTCAAAACATGATGTTAATGTGTTTTAAGGATTTTGTGTTTGAGCCAGGTGCCAGTGGCTCAGGTCTGTAATTGTAGCTACTTGGGAGGTGACGAAAGGAAGGATTGAGGTTTGAGGCCAGCTCAGGTAGAAAAGACCAGAAGACTCCTTCTCAACCTAGAGCTGGGCACAGTAATGCATTCCTCTCATCCTAAGATATATGGAAAACTGACACTGAGAGGATCAAATCTCCAGGCCAGCCCAGGCAGACAAGTATGAGCCATTCAACAGAGGAAGATTAGATACAGTGGCATTGTATGCACTACTATCCCAACAACAGGAAGACTAAATAGAAAAAAAAAAAACGGGGGTAGAGATATGGTGTGGTATGGTATGTTTGAGCAGAGAAATACCTGCCCAGCAATATAAGGTCTTAAGCTCAAACCCCAATACTGCAAAAAAATTGTACTTGCAGCTAAAGTTAGTTTTTTATTACTATGCTGCTAACTGATAAAGTTTTAATATTCAAATGAATGATTATTTTATCTTCAAAATAATGTTCTTACATAGAAAGTTTAGGAATGTTCTGATTTATGGCTACGTCTGTCACACTGAGTCAAAGGTTGTCTTAAAACATTTATTCTTTAGGATATCAGTAATATAGAGTAAAGGCTATAAGATAAATCCCAAACATTGCCAGCTTTCCTTCAATCTGTGGTTTGATCTGAATTCTTGTGTTTCTTCATGCATTTGGCCAGTGAAACTCTTTCATTGCAGCAGACAATATACCTCCAGACATATATTATTTACAGATATTTCTGCAGCAAAATAATATTTATTCCATATATTTCAAGAGCTTTCTTCTGAGTGTCTGTCCGGCTGTGCTTTTTCACTTGTAGGTGGTATAGTCTTTGCTTCCACCCTCCTCATTCTGTCATTTCCTTGAAGGGTTCTCGGGAAGACAAATTTTCTTCTTTAAAAATCAGACAGATCCTGTGTAGCTTGTAATCACACAGAAAGCAGGGACAGATGAGGGCTTTAAATGTCACACTAGTGAGAAGACAGTGGTGTGGCTCTCACATGGAGAACTTCCTCAGTCTCTGAGAGCTAATGCCAGACCAGTGAGGAGATTGAACAGTTGAATATCCAAATGCTGAAGGAGACTTTACTGGATAATAATGTTTTAAAGGCAGTGTTTCTTTCTTCCAAGTTGAAGGACATGATGGCATTTCTTTATGGTTTGTTTACTTGTTGTTACGGAACAACAAGTAGCACATGATAGTTCCTGAGGATGGCCTGTGGTGTGTCTCAGGAAGGAGGCAGAATACCTGTTAGCCTGCTGGCACTGCTGGGCACTTTGTACCATGCAATGTATCATCATCACTGACAGTCATCTCCTGGACATTGTCTATGTGCAAGGTGCTGTTCCAGTGTAGTGAGTTGGTGAGTGATGTCGCTGCGTGCACAAAGCAGAGATTTCTATGTCTGAAGACATAGGAGATACACATACTGAGTGTGTCTCTGGTTGTTTTCCTCTGTGGTACTCGAAAGAGGCCCCTTTTGAGCCTCAAACATTGTCAGCTTTTTTCCAGAGTCTTGTACTGCTTCATGTATTTGGCCAATGCAGACTTTATTCTGCCAGTCTGTGCTCTCTGTATAATATGCTTTTTCATTTGAGTCTCCAAATTACATCTTTGTTATCTGGAAGGGATCACTCAATTCTAGCGTTCCAGGACCTGGTGAAATGTTGTCTACAAATCCTCCACAGCTGGCGCTGTGCTCCCCATGCTCACAGCTGGCACTGTGTTCTGCGTGCTCAGCCCTCGCCTTCCCTACTACAGATTGCAAATCCTTTTTGTTCTCATGGTTGCCTTTAAGCTGCTTTGCTCTTCTGGCTTCTTGTATTTGGACTGTGTTTCCTCTTTATGGTTGTGTTAAGATGACTCAGTCCAGTCTACTAGTATGATAAAAGTATTCTATTCACTTTGGAACTTTTCTCATCAATGTTAACTTTTGTTAGTTATAGAAGCACCTTGATCCGATATGTTTTACATAATTCAGAATAACAGCAATGTGCTTTTCCTATATAACAAATTATAATTCCTTTATCCATTTATATTAGCATGCTTATTCTTCTCTTAGCATCTGTCTATATTGGAGTTGGACATTTTTCCACTTCCTCATGGAGCTTTATGAGTTGTCAAGAGGATGTTAGCACTCAGTTCAGCCTTTTGTTCCTTGGAACTGGCTGAGTGGAGAAAACAAGGAGTTCCATTTTTCACTTCTCCAAAATCATAGCACATGACTAAAAATCTAGAATAATCTCAAAATGATGTTTTAGGCAATTCTGGATAAAATGGAAAATATTCAAATGATATCAAAGAAGACAGACAGTGTCTCACTGTAAGGGAAATGTACATTATTGTACAGAGAGTATATGTATTTATATACATGCAAACATAGGCATAAGATAGTAGACATAAAATTCTGAGTTTTCACGGTTAACAGTACAGCAGTGAAAAATACACTGTGATGTATTTAGTTGTCTAAAGTTAATCAATCTGGCCTCTAGGTACCTGTATCTCAGCAGAGGTATCATTGTGAATTTATATCTTAGGAAAATCCTTTATTTTCAATTATTAAAATTTATTATCTCTCCATCATTACTCAGATTTGTTTTGAGTTAACCTTACCAAAAAATTTTGGAAACCTAACAACATTCCACTTGCAGTGGGGTATACCCTGATTGTCCTAGACCCACAGCTGCATTTAAAACCAGCTTCTGATAGAGATCTGCTTTTAGAAATGCAAATAAAAACAACACTGAGGTACCACCTTACCCTAGTCAGAATGGCCCACATCCAAGGATCAACATTGTGAAAATCGCAATACTTCCAAAAGCTATCTACAAATTCAATGCGATCAGTATTCCAACCTCATTCTTCAAGGAAATAGAAGTAATTCAAAAAATCATATGGAACAATAAAAGACCCCAAATAGCAAAAATGATCCTTAACAGAAAGAACAGTGCTGGAGGAACATCAATACTAAACTTCAAACTCTACTACAAAGCCATAGTAATCAAAACAGCTTGGTACTGGCACAAAAACAGACCTGCAGAACAATGGAATAGAACTGAAAACCCACAAATGAATCCCAGACATATAGCCACCTAATCTTCGATAAGGGAGCTAAATATATAGAATGGAAAAAAGACAGCCTCTTCAGTAAATGGTGCTGGCAAAATTGGTTAACTACTTGTAGAAAACTAAAGCTAGACCCTGCACCAGAATCAACTCCAAATAGATCAAAGACCTCAAAGTCAAAGAAGACACCCTGAAAATATTACATGAAGGAATAGGAGAAACCCTAGGGCTCCTTGGCACAGGCTGAAATTTTCTTAATAGAGACCCAGAAACACAACAAATCAAAGAAAGGTTGGACATATGGGATTGCATGAAACTGCAGAGCTTCTGCCTGGCAAAGGACATAGCTAGCAAGATCAGTAGGAAAGCCCACATGTTGAGAGAAGATCTTCACTAGCCATACAACAGACAAAGGTCTCATATCTAAAATATACCTGGAATTCAAAAAATTAAATTCCACAACAACAAATTCTCAAAGAAACAACTGCCAGTAAATAAGTGTGCTAAAGACTTACAGAGAAACTTCTCTGAAGAGGAAAGAAGAATGGCCAATAGACACATGAAGAAAAGCTCAACTTCTCTAGCCATAAAAGAAATGCAAATCAAAACATTGAGATTCCACCTCACCCCAGTTAGAATGGCTATAATCAAGAAATCTAATATCAACAGATGCTGGAGGGGATGTGGCCAAAAGGGAACCCTATTGCATTGTTGGTGGGAGTGTAAACTTGTTCAACCACTTTGGAAAGCAGCGTGGAGGTTCAAACGACTCCACATAGAGTTCCCCTATGACCCAGCAATCCCACTTTTGGGCATTTACCCAAACATTCACAAACAAGGGTATACTAAAGCTATCAGCACAACTATGTTTATTGCAGCATTATTTACCATAGCTAAGATACGGAACCAACCCAGATGCCCCTCAGTAGAAGAATGGATCAAGAAAATGTGATTGTGTGTGTGTGTGTGTGTGTGTGTGTGTGTGTGTGTGCGTGTGCGTGTATGGAATTATTTGCCTCCATTAGAAAGAATGACATCGTCCCATTTGTTAGGAAATGGAAAGACTTGGAAAAAATTATATTAAGTGAAGTAAGCCAGGCCCAAAGAAGCATAGGTTCCATGATTTCCCTTATTTGCAGTAACTAATATATGTATGGGACAAGTAGAAAAGGTCAAAAGCTATGTACATTTGACCAGATAAGATGATGTTAAGTGAAATGAACCCCAAGATAGGGACACAAGTCATTTTTTCTTTCTTGCTATTGTTTTTAACGTACTTATAATGTACTATGTGATATTTTTGTTTCTTTTGTATGTTCTTCCCCCATGGTATAATCCCTGTTTTCATTGTATTTGATTCTGGTGCCCTGCATCTTATATATGTACTTTTCTAATTTGGGGAGAGGAAGGGAAAAAACAAAATGCTTAAATAGGGATGCAGGTTGACCCATTGTAACAATGAGAGGTACAGGACACTATGTTGAAAATGAACTTTACAATTTCAGGGGGGTGAGTCAGGGGAGTAGTTGGGGAGGTGGGAAGGAAGGGATGGTAAGGGAAAAACAAAGGAGGAGGAGGCAACAATGCTCGAAGGAAATGTACTCATTACCTTACTCATGTAACTATAACCAGTCCGTACAGTATTTTTACAATAAAAAATGTATTTAAAAAAATGACCCACATCCTAAATTCAGCCAACGACAAATGCTCAAGGGGAAGCAGAGAAAGAGGAGCTCTACTGCGTTGTTGGTGGGAATGTACACTAATACAACCACTTTGGAAAGCAGTCTGGAGGTACCTCAGAATGCTAGATATAGACCTCCCTTATGATCCAGCCAAACCACTCCTAGGCATCTACCCTGAGCAACAGGAACCAGGATACAAGGACACATGCAGCTCCATGTTCATTGCAGCACTGTTCACAATAGCCAAGATATGGAAACAACCCAGCTGCCCACTACTGATGAGTGGATCCAAAAATTGTGTTACCTATATACAATGGAGTATTATGCAGCCATTAGAAAGGACAAAATAATGGCATTTGCAGGGAAATAGATGGAACTTAAGAGAATAATTTTGAGCCAGGTAAGTCAAGAGCAAAGAGACAAACAGCACATGGTCTCCCAAATAGGTGGATGCTAAAGCCAAAATGCAAGGAGATATGACAAAGTAAATAGGACTTGAGAAACAAAGGACTGCCACTCATTTTGTCATATCATTGCTAAATGACTCCATGTTCTTGACCACATATATGGGTGTGTGTGTGTGTGTGTGTGTGTGTGTGTGTGTATGCATGCAACAGAGAAAAGCTAGAGGGAGGATACAGAATCAGTGAGAAATGGGAAAATATACAACAGAGGGGTCCATCAGCTGCACTGGACATAGATGAAAATGAATGAAGCAATACAAAGACAGGGATGGGAAGGGAAGAAAGTAAAAGGAAAGAAATGTAAGTATCATCTGATGTGGAAGAAATAATTGTATTGTCAAAGCTCATAGAATTCACAACTGTATAGACCATGATAATGACAATTTGCCTTGTGAAGGTTAAAATGTATTTGTGACTTTAAGTATCACTATTCCACAATACTGTGAAATATGTGAAATTTATGTAATCACCTAATCTCAATTAATAAAAAGAAAAGTGAGAAAAGGGGTAAGTTAGGAGCGATGGGTGACAATGTTGTCAGACATTTTGTATACTCATATACTGTTTTGTAGAATGGAAACTTCTTTGTACAACTACTTAAAGACAATAAAAAATGGAAAAAAAAAAGAAAGTTGCTTTTCCCCAACCTGGTGAGCTTTATCTTCTAATGATTTTAATTTTACAGATTTACCTCATATGAAAGTGAACATTGCCTGCTATACCTTCCCAAACTTTTTTATACACATTCCTGCTTCCTCTCTGCAGTACTAATATGGGGTTACAGTTCCATTTTCAATATGCATAGCCAAGAATAGTTGAATTTGAGCTCTCTCTGGGGCACTTGTCACATGTGATCATTTCTTTTTTTTTTTTGTCAGTTGAAGGGCTTGAACTCTGGGCCTGGGCGCTCATCAGATCAAGCTCTACAACTGGAGCCACTTCTGGTTTTCTGGTGGTTAACTGGAGATAAGAATCTCATGGCCTTCCCTGCCTGGGCTGGCTTTGAACCTCGATCCTCAGATGTTAGCCTTCTGAGTAGCTAGGATTACAGCTGTGAATGACTGACACCTGGCAGATGTGATCATTTCTGAGCACTTTTACATAGTAGTTGTTCCTCTTGGATGTCTCATGGCAGAATACTTTCCACAAAGCATCTAAAAGTTGGGTGTTTTTCTTAGAATGGGCTCCCAAGCTCTTTTATTATAGAAAGCAATCTTTTCTCCTCATCCAAACATCTTATAGACATACACAGTCCCAGTAGCAAGCTGATTTTTAATGTATTGAAGCTCCAGAGTCATTGCAAACTTTTTTCTATCAAAATCCCTTTCACTCAGTTAAAGACATAAATAGTTATTTGATCTGGATATATTAAGATTTGCAATTTCTGTAACTAGAAATGTTCCCAATGAAATAATAATTGCTCTCTGCAATGATGATAATTTAGACAGCACCCTAAATTAACTATATAATCATAACAATTTATCAAGTTAAGCTTCATTTGTTGCTTATTTTTTTTAATTTGTAGACTTGAATCATCTTATGCAACTTCTCTGAAAGAACCAGAAAGGAAGAAGAAAGATCTGTTTTTAATGGTCTCAGATCAATCAGATCATGAAAAAGAATTAAACAAGGTATGGAAATAACGAGCTCCATTCTTCCAAGTCAACCTAAAGTCTTTGCATATAAGCAATTAAAGAAATGTTCTCTCTCTCCTTTTGCTATTATAATTTTTCCTAAGATAATAATATTCCAAGATGATAATTATAACATTGCTCTCTGAAAATACAAACCTTGGGTTATGTCTGCCTTGAGAGGGTGCACACAGGTGGAGTCATGGGGGTAGGGAGTGGCTGTGGGAAAGGTGGCCGAAAGCAAGGTGGACAGCACTGACCTTAGCACTCATGCATGTATGCACCTGCCTTGGGAGCCTCATTAGTAGACTGTGATGAAGAAGAAATAAATCAATAATAGCTTCTCAGTGCATTGTTCTTACCATGTACCAGGACTCACACCTGTAATCCTAGCTTCTCAGGAGACTTGTGATCTGAGGATCATGAATGGAAGCTAGAGAGGCATACAAACAAATCCAAGAGACTCTTTTTTCCAGGTAACAGACAAAAAGCCAAAATCAGAGTGGAAGCATGACTCTAGTCAAGCACCATCCTTGAGAAAGAAAGCCAAACAAGAGTGCCAAGTCCTGCACTAGCACAGAATATATTTATTTCTCCTTATAGTAAAATTTAGTAGTGTTTTCCTTTCTGTTAGTTTGTCATGGATTCTAGATACTTATCAAGTCTTTATTTTTTATATTTTTATTATCTTTAAGTAATTGTACAAAGGAGTTGCCACTCAACAAAGCAGTATATGAGCCGGGCACCAGTGGATCATGCCTGTAATCCTAGCTACTCAGGAGGCTGAGATCTGAGGATTGTGGTTCAAAGCCAGCCCGGGCAGGAAAGTCCGTGAAACTCTTATCTCCAATAAACCACCAGAAAACTGGAAGTGGCGCTGTAGCTCAAATGGTAGAGTGCTAGCCTTGAGCTGAAGAGCTGAGGGACAGCGCTCAGGCCCAGAGTTCAAGCCCCATGACCGACAAAAAAAAAAAAAAAGCAGTGTATGAATAATCGTCTTGATCAATGTCACCCCTTTCAACATTCTCACCCACCCCTTCCAACCCACCTGTTCCCTCACTTTCCTTAATTTTTTAGGTTATATATTGCATTTTTGCCATTTAACAAAGCAGTTTCTATATATAATGCATCTTGATATGTGCCATCCCTTCAACATCTTCATACCCCTTCATTTTTATTAATTTTGTGGTATATACAATGAATTCAAGTGCATTCTATTCCCTTCCCTGCCTTATAAGTCTACCCCTCTCCCCTTGGCCTCACCCCATTTCCTGGTACTTATTTTGTTCGGTTTTGACTTAGTTTTTGTAATAAATTCTGCATAGAGTCAGTTATGCATCAGTTAAATTCGTTTGTAACTGCTTGCATACCACCTAATGTCTTTACTTATAGGCACATTCTAGCTACCACAAATGAGGGAAAACATGCAACCTTTGTTTCTCTGAATCTGGCTTACTTCACTTAATATAAAATTTCCAAGTCTTTCTATTTCCTTACAAATGGTACCATATCATTCTTTCTGATGGATGAGGAGAATTCAATTACATATGTATATACATACATACATACATATATATATATATATATATATATATATATATATCACATTTTCTTGATACATTCACCCATTGAGGGGCATCCAGACTGATTCCATATCTTGGCTATGGTGAATAGTGCTGCAATGAACATGGTTGTATTCATGGCTTTAACGTAGCCTTGTTTGTGCTCTATTTGATAAATACCTGGGGGCAGAATTGCTGAGTCATAGGGTAGTTCTATGTTAAGTTTTTTGAGGAACCTCCAGAGTGCTTTCCATAGTGGTTGAACAAGCTTATGTTCCCACTAAAAATATAATGCCAAATCCTCACCAGCATTTGCTATTGTTAGTTTTCTTGATAACAGCCATTCTAACTGAGGTGAGGTGGAATCTCAATGTTGTTTTGATTTGCGTTTCCTTTATGGTTGAAGGTTTTGAACATTGCTTCATATGTCTATTGCCATTTTTACTTCTTCTGGGAAGTCTTTGTCAAGTCTTTAGATTTGAAAATCAAACAGAACATTCAGTGCTGTAAATTCTAAATAGCTGTTACAAAGCTGAACGTGGCTTGGAATTATCATTTACTGTGTACCATGCTTAACATACAGGAAATGAATGTAAATATTTAGCTGACAAATTAACTAATACCAAGGCTAAGTTCTCCCATAATTGAAGATGGTCTTAAGTTGTTTGGATTGTATGAATCATCCAGCATTTGTGGAGCATGTCTTAGGGAAAACCAGCCTGAAGAATTTTATAGGAAATGCAGGGATGTGAAAGATCTGCCTGACAAAAAGCTTACTGTCAGAACTATCAAAATGTATTACAAATTATTCATCATCATTTCCCTTTTATTTTGGACACTTCAAGATTTCAAATCCAGTGATAATATTGATTGTATGAATGTGAAAATTGGGGGAAGGTGAGGTGGGAGAGATGGGACAGAATGATGAAGGGGTGACGTTGTTCAGAATGCACTGTGCTCCCAATGGACATATTGAATTGAAACCCCTTGGTAAACTACTTGAAGATAATAAAATAAATACCACATAGTCCTATAAAATGGGTTGATATATGCTTATATATTATATACATGACATATATACACACACACATATATATATATGATATAGATATATATATATATGATACATATCATATATATATATATATATATATATATATATATATGATAGGGCTTGAACTCAGGGCCTAGGCACTGCCAAGCTTTTTGCTCAAAGCTAGTGCTCTGCCACTTTGAGCCATAGCTCCCTTCCTTTACTGATATTTTTACCTTAAAAAATTGCTTTGTCCTAGTGAATGTGTTATGATTTTTAAATAATGACTAAAGCCCCATACTGTTATGTGCTCATCGATTTTGATAGAGTAATAAAGCCTTGAATATTATAAAGAATTCACTAATTTCATGCCCATTGAGATGGAAGGCATGTGTGTGAGGCTCTTGGAGACCAGCAGCCAGGCAATACTGTGCAAAAAGGTTACAGAAAAATGGAATGTAAATAGCTAGAATTTCCAGGAAGTGTTTGTGAAGAGCATTTTCATCCCATTGTTATAAAACCAACAAGAGCCATGTGTTATGAATTCTGCCAGTGTTTTCTCTTTTCCCAGGACAGAGCTATTTTTAGTCATCTATTTAGTAATAAAACTCCCATTTTTTAATAAAGCTGAAAGTCATTCAAAGCTAGGTAAATTAATATTATTTAGAAACAAGCTTTGTCATGTAGCAAACTGTTTTAATATCTAAGCATTTTATAAATAATGAAAGTAGATTTTTTTTTCATTTTAGTGCATTCTTTCCGTTTACATTTTGTGAGTTCTGTTAAATCACATTTTTTTTCTTTTTTGCAATTGGCAAAATCCAGACCAGGACATACTACAGGACAATGCTGTTATTTAAAAAAATAAATTGTAAGGAGAAAAATTGGAGGCAGGAGAAACTCAAGAAAGGAGAAATTCAGTTGGCCTCCTTGAAAATCCCCTTAGCTTGGGGTGTTTGCCTTCTGGGCTCCTAAACTCTGCTTTGAGATGCTGCGTAACCAAGTTCCTCTCCCTCCACCCCGCCATTTCTTTCTATTCAGTCTTTCCCCCCATGCAGTAAATGGTAAAGTTAAGACCACATCATTTCTAGGGTTTTGTCCAACTTGGAAATTCTAAAACTGTTCATAAGAAGAGTAGAAACAGATGAGGGGTAGATGGCACAAGACCTGACTTGCCTCTTGGTAAGAAGTCATCCTGCTCTTGTGTTTTCCATGAAACACAGCTTATTCCAACATGTCAGTCATCTTCCATTAGGACACTGTGGAGCACAGGGGTAAGCTCACAGGTTCCAAAACCCAACTGCTTGGGCTGGGAAGGTGGCTCAGTGGTAGAGCACTTGCCTTGCATGCATGAGGTCCTGGGTTCGATTCCTTAGCACCACATAAGCAAAAAGAAAAAAGCTGGAAGTGGCGCTGTGGCTCAAGTGGTAGAGCGCTAGCCTTGAGCTGAAGCCTGGGTTCGATTCCTTAGCACCACATAAGCAAAAAGAAAAAAGCTGGAAGTGGCGCTGTGGCTCAAGTGGTAGAGCGCTAGCCTTGAGCTGAAGAGCTGAGGGACAGCGCCCAGGCCCAAAGTTCAGGCCCCATGACTGGACCCCAAAACAAAAATTAAAAAAAAAAATCAACTGCTGCCTTTCACCAGGAATGGGATGGGAAAATTACACACTTTGTTTTAATCAGAGAGATTGTGAGGCATGAACAAGTTGATTCATGTAAACTATATAAGAGAGACAGAGGGACAAAGAAAGATGCAGACACACAGAGACTTTAACAGGTACATAAGCTGGTGCCAATGGCTCATGCCTGTAATCCTAGCTACTCAGATCAGAGGATGGAGGTTTGAAGCTAGTCCAGGCAGGAAAGCCTGTGAGACTCTTATCTCCAATTAACCAACAATAACCAGAAGTGAAGGTGTGAGGCTCAAGTGGTAGGATGCCAGCCGTGAGCAGAAATAGCTAAGCAAGAGCATGAGACTCTGAGTTCAAGCCCTACTACTGGCATAAAAATAAATAAAGATAGAAGAATGAAAAGATATACATGCAGTCTTAGTGTGTGGACCAAACTTAGGTATTAAGGCAATTAAACAACTTAAGGAACATTCACTACATTTTTGAGACAATTTTCAACTTGAATTCTGCTAGGACATTTGATGATATGAAAGAAGTGATTATTCTGAAGACATCCTAACCATATTCTGCCTGTTAGGAGACAGGAAAGAATTGAGAATGAGGAAGAGTGAGAGGGAGGGAGAGAGAAAGAAATAGAGAATGCGATTTAGAGAAAGAAATTATTCTTTTAGACTTACACAGTGCATATTGAAAGCTGAAATGGAAATGTTCGTTTTTCATCCTGGGATCAATCCATATACATCTCTGTGGCTGGCCTCAACTTGACCTCTCCAGCCTGGTTTCTCATAACCAGTTATCCATCCACTCCACTTCTCTAAGTGTCTATTGCTCTCTCACTCGAGTCTTTACTATATTTTCTGCCTAGGAGCCTGGCTTCATCTCATCCTCTGGCTGCCTTCCATTCATCCTGTAATATTTGGCCTGTTAACCTCCCCTCTGGGCATCCAGCCTGACACCTGTCCCCAGGATAAGTTAAGCACCCCTCCCTCCTACATACTGGGAACATCGATTTCTACACTCTACTGTAATTGTCTTTTTCTGTTTCACACTAATGAATGATGATTTTTCTGAGAGCACTGGCTTGTGTTTTATCTCTGAATCTAAGACTTGGAAACTGACAGTAGTTTCTAGAAGGATGCTAGTAGCAGGACCAAGACCACATTGCTAGGAAGAAGGGACAGAGGTGGGCTGTAAGCAGTGAAAAGAAGAGGGGTGCAGGACAGTTGTAGGTAGTAATGGGGATGGCTCACAGGTGAGCTATGGCAGAGGGTAAAGTGTAGACAGAGCTGGCTGTGTGGCTGCATTTGGAAGGATGACGGTGGAGAAGAGAACACCGCAGTTACCACACATAAAGCTTCACCCACTTGAGATAACATGTGCTCTGCAGGTGGGCAGATGACACCCTTCAGTGGTCATAAGTTTTAAATTTAGTGCCAGGTGATTCTGAAAAACATATTTTGTCAGCAAACAGCACAATATAACTTAGGATTTTAGAATACTAAATTTAAAGCTAGCAGTGCTAGGTTCCATACCAGCTCTACCAGTCAGCTTTGAGCCAATTGCTTCACCTCTTTAGGCCATTTTTATCCCATGAAAAGTGCTTGATAGGGTGGGCATGGTGGTGCATGGCTAATTCTCAGCCACTCAGGAGCTTGACATGCTGGGCATGATGAGACATGCCTGAATCTTAGCCACTCAGGAGCTTGAGGCAAGAGATTGCATACAGCCTGAGCTATATGCAGTTCAATATACAATGTCCTTAGCAGACCACACAACAGAAAACAGAAATGAGAAATAAAATCTTGTAACTGGAAGGAAATGTAAATGACCCATTAAGTATCTGTTTTAAGTTTTGCTTTGATTATAAAAGGAAGGTACAGAGGAGCCTGCCAGTGCTTTTAGGACAGGAGAACTGGATCTAACTAGCAGAAGCTTAAAGCTGCTCTCTTATTTGCAGATAAGATATGAGGCGGAAGAGTACCACCGCTCTGAGCAGGAAAGAATGAAGAATGAAATCTCTGACTTGACGCAGGAGCTCCATCAGAAGGAGATCACCATAGCAACTGTCATGAAAAAAGCTTCCCTTCTTGAAAAACAGTTGAAGATGGAATTAGAAATAAAAGAAAAAATGTTAGCCAAACAACAGGTATGCAAGCAAGAAGGAGGCCCCTTTCCATGGCCCAGTCCTGCCAGGGGCTCAGCACAGTGTTCATTGTTCACTGACTCAAGCAGCGCACCACTCCTTGTTCTTGTTAAAAATCACAGAAAGGCTTGTGGTGCCATGGAAATAGTGTTATGAAGCCACGTAACACCCATTAACACCCATGCAACACAGAAAATTTTCACCAAAAAGCAACAGAGAACTAGCTACTCAGGAGGCTGAGATCTGAGGATCACAATTCGAAGCCAGCCCCCTGCAGAAAACTCATAGCTCCCATTAACCACCAAAAGGTGAAAGTGGAACTGTGGCTCAAGTGTTAGAATGTCAGCAGCATTGAGTGAAAAAGCTAAGGAACAGGCCCTGAGTTCAAGCCCCAGGACTGGCCCACACACAAAAAACATGTAGAAACATTAGGATGATGCCTGATGATATTAAACCTTCTCCTGTGATGTGTACACTGAACACAGAGCACTGGTGTCCAGCACATCTTTGACATATTAAAAAGAAAAAAGATTCCAATTTTTCTTAAATATTTCTTACTCAGCATATGTTTCTTTTAGGGTTTTGAAAATGGAAAATGGTACTAAGAAGGCTGAGCTCTAAGGATCACAGTTCAAAGCCAGCCCAGGCAGAAGTCCATGAGACTCAACTCGAATAAGCTACCCCAGAAAATCGGAAGTAGAACTGTGGCTCAAGTGGTAGAGCACTAGCCTTGAGCAAAAAGAAAGCTTGGGACAGGGCCTTAGCTCGAGTGAAGCCCCAGGACCAGCACACACACACAAAAAAGATTAAAAATTGTTTTAAGCATGAAACGCAGTTCATACTTACTAAATATTTACTCCACATGTAGGATGGTTCCTGGAGAAAAGCAGCAATGGTAATTACTGCAAGTGAACTACATGCATGTGTGACTGGTTGCCTACTTTCTCTTCTCCTCCTCTCTCCCTCCTTTCTTCCTTCTTCCCTTTCTTCCTTCCTCCATTTTCTTCCTTCCTTGTTTTTTACATTCTCCTTCCTCTATTTTTTCCTTCCTTGTTTTTTACATTCTCATAATCTTACTCATAATCAGATCAGTTAGTTGTCCACCCTCAATAGAGGCCACAGAGATTCTCAGCCTTTTCACTCCAATACTAGATGTTTTCAGAACGTGAGCACTTACTGAGAAAACCTCAATAACTTTCTAGGCAGGTGAGGATCACTTTATAAATAACATTTGTATATTATGGAAACAGAATAGGCTCTATCTTCATCCAGTTGTGAGCCTCAAACTGTGATTTATGTTTATAATACACAGGAAACCATGGATACCACATGATAGCAAGGCTTCCCTGAACAAAGTTACCCTCTGTACTGTGCAGAGGACAGCAGCAGGGATCCAGGCAGATAGATTATGAATGATTCTTACTATCACTTGCATATTCTTTTTTAAAAATTAGCTTACAGTAGTAATACAGGGGCAGGGATTTCATTGTGGCAACTCTACATGTTTACACCAATCTATCTCACCCTCTCTATAACATTTTTATTTTTTTAGACTACCAGTGAGTATATATTTTTCTATAGTTTTTTTTATTATTATTAAGGTGTGCAGAGGGCTTACCATTTCATAAGTCAGGTAATGAGTACATTTGGGGGGGGGCAATGTCACTCCTTCTTTTGTTTTCTACCCATCCCCCCTTTCGTCCTTGCCCACAAGTTATATAGTTCATTTTTCACATAGTAAATGTATATTTTATAATTTAAAAAAGCAAATCTTAAGGCAAGTGTTATAGAGATGTGAGACCTAGATGAATAAAAGGTCAGGTTGGGCATAGTGGTACAGACCTTTAATCTCAGCACCTAGGAGGCTGAGGCAGGAGAATCATAGGAAGACCCCTGTCTCAATAAAAATTAAACAACTAAATAAGCAAAGGCAAAAGGAAAGATACTATATCCAAGAACGATCAAATAGAAGAATCAGAGGGGGAAAAACAGGAAAAAATAAAGTCACAAACAAGGAAACTTGACAGGAGTAACAGAAAGAACAACATTAAATATGGAAGTCACATATCACATACTGTAAAAATTAATCAGGTATTCAAGAAATTTAGTTGACCAGATTATTTTAAGCATGTTTTCAAAATTGTGATTTTTTTTTCTGGTAACAGAAAGCAAATGAATCATTTTAAGTATCTGTTTTTTTTTTGGGGGGGGGGTCCGGTTGTGGGGCCTGAACTCTAGGCCTGGGCGCCGTCCCTCAGCTCTTCAGCTCAAGGCTAGCGCTCTACCACTTGAGCCCCAGTACCACTTCTGGCTTTTTCCTTTTTGCTTATGTGGTGCTGAGGAATCAAACCCAGGGCCTCAGGCATGCAAGGCAAGTGCTCTACCACTGAGCCAACTTCCCAGCCCTTAAGTATCTGTTTTTAAGTTAGTTTTGATCCTAAGTTGAAGGTACCATGACATGTGCCACAGATAGAAGAGCTGAATAACAGAATTGACTGCTAAAGCCAGGAATCATTTCCCTTTACTACACTTAGAAAGTATTTGCATTCACAAGATAAAAATTAATTTTTAAAACTCTGGAGTTCTCGTTGTGAATTTTACATTTCCCCTTTGTCTTCTGAACTTTCAGGTCTCAGATATGAGATATAAGGCCATCAGAACAGAAAACCCACATCTAAAAGGAATGATGGGAGATTTAGACCCTGGACGGTATATGGTAATACGTTGAATTCATTCAATAAATTGAACACAAGATGACTTAGTTGGTCAGGATTTTCCAGACATTGTTTACTGGGCCCTTGTCTCATAATAGCATGCAGGGCTTGCAAACGGTCCTGCATTTCATTTTTATCCTCAGGTTGGAACATTAGTCTTTCTTGATTTTTCTTTTGTTCTTGGATTTTGGCTCAAATTCTGATCATTTCTCAGACATGCCAAATGTGCTGACTGATTGCTTTTGATCTTGCTGTTGCTTTGAAATTCAACAGCCACCTTCACCTCATGAAACCACCTCCAAAGCCCGTCAGAATGGCTTGTCCCTGGCACTTGGTCTGTGTCTTGGTCTGACTTGATTCGTAGTTTGGCACTTCTGCATTGCCTGGTGTGTGCAGCACCTCAAAGCACGGGTGTGAGGAAAGGCCCCATACACGCCGCCTGCGTCCATGGCGTGCTCTGCTCTTCAATGAGTAGACAACATATAAGCATCATGGTTGCTGAGCTGGGTCGCAGTTTCCTCCCTCAGCTGTCTAGTGTGGGTTAGAGCAGGCCACCCCTTCTGTAGCATGGTACTTTATTTCTGTGTTTTATATACTTCTCTGAAGTAGCAAGAGGAGACAAGCACTCTACCTCCACCATGAGCATAGGGATGGGTTGGGGAAGTAGAGGACATGTGGGTAAAAGAATGCTAGGGAAGCTTTCTATCTCCTACTACATAAAGTTGCCCATCTGCTGTGTATGCATATGTATGTGTGCATACATATGTGTATACGTTCATTTAAATCTGCCATCTAACCCTATTTATTTAGAAATACTGGACACACAAAAAGTTAAATCAGATCCCAACTCTGAGTGACTTTCCTATCACAAAATAGGATTTGTGTTTCTAAACTCGGTCTAAGCATTTGTGCTTATATATAGTTGGTTATCACAGTGTCACTGGGCCTGCTTCTTTCTGCTCCTAATGGGATTTAGGGGGGAGGTGAAAGAGAAGTGTGTGTGTGTGTGTGTGTGTGTGTGTCTGTGTCTGTGTGTCTGTGTGTCTGTGTCTGTCTGTGTCTGTGTGTCTATGTGTCTGTGTGTCTGTGTGTGTGTGTGAAGAGAGAGATTATGGGGGATTGAACTCAGGCCTGGTTGTTGTTGCTTAGCTTTTTACTCAAGGCTAATGCTCATGCACTCCAGCCATAGCTCCACTTCCAGCTTTTGGTAGTTAATTGGAGATAAGAATCTCATGGACTTGGCTTTGAACCACAATCCTCAGTTCTCAGCCTCCTGAGTAGCTAGGGTTATGGTATCAGTCACTGGTACTCAGCCCTATTGGCTTTTGACTTTTAAAATGCAAACAAAGATATTTAACAAGAAACTAATTCTTCCCATCTCTATACCCCAGAATTATTCCATGCTAAGAAAATAGTATGCAGTGTTGTTGCTTTCCCTTTACTTGTGTGCTCTTACAGAAATAGTGTATATATGTAAGACATTCATTAGCCAAAACTGCCTCTGACAGAATTAAGGGACATCTGTATAAGTCACTACGCATCTTTTATTTTTCTCATTTCTTAAGAAAATCATACTCATGTAAAAAATACATAACATTTATGATTTGGTTCATAGATAATACTCCGGGTAATTTTCAGTGTCATCTTTCTTTCCTCCAGCCCTCTACTCACACTGTCATCCAGCAGATTCTAGATCAGTTAACTTCACAGTGTGTATCATTGTATACTTTTCCATGTATATGTATATGCAGTCATATACCTATTTGGAGATTTTATCACTTTTTAAAAAATAAGATTGCTTATGTCTGTGTGTCACTGAACAATACCTCTTAGAATCCTTCCAAACGACTAGTTTAAGACAATTTATCCTTATAATTGGCATGGATAAAACACACTTAGTAGACTACTTTTCATAATTAATTTAGCCCTAAAATATTCAACTCTGTTTACATATTTTGCCTGAATGAGCAATGATATTGTAGAACACCCTTATCCATGTATCTCAGAATAATCTTCTAGAAATGAGATTGTCAATTCAAAGATTGTGAGAGTTTTCATTTTAATACCTGTTATCAAGTCACATTTCTACTTTCTCTCTCATCCTTACCACCATGAGATATTATTGCTTCTTTGCTCATTCTAATTTCACAACTATGATGGCTATGAAGTAATTTCCATTTTTCTGAATACAATTGAGTATGTCTTTATACATTTATTGGCAATGTTTGCTAATATGAATTAAATATCCTTCATTTTCTATTGGGTTGTCTTTTTCTTTTCCATTTATAATAGCACTTTTCTAAATCTTCTTTGTAGCTTTTTTTCGGGGGTCCGGTCATGGGGCCTGAACTCTGGGCCTGGGAGCTGTCCCTCAGCTCTTCAGCTCAAGGTTAGCGCTCTACCACTTGAGCCACAGCACCATTTCCGGCTTTTTTTCTTTTTGCTTATGTGGTGCTGAGGAATCGAACCCAGGGCCTCATGCACGCAAGGCAAGCGCTCTACCACTGAGCCACCTTCCCAGCCCATTCGTAGCTTTTTTATACCTTTTCCCATAAACTTTTATTTGTCATAACAGGCAACAAGAGCTTTATAGTTTTGAGTTGCATTCTTTAAATTATAAGATTGTCCATACTTCTGTGTGTATGCAGTATCTTGGATTTTTTTTGTTTTTTATTTTATTGCTATTGTAAATGTGATGTACAGAAGGATGAGTTATGTAAGTGAGGTAATGAGTACATTTCTTCTTGGACAGTGTCACCTCTTCCCTCACTCTCTCCCAGTTTTTCCCTTCCATACCCACCCGTATGTAGTATAGTTTATTTTCAACATAGAGTCTAGTGAGGACCACTTGCTGCATTTTCTACCCTTTATCCCTCTTCGATGTTTATGAGAGATTTTTTTTTGGTCCATCATTAGTCCATGTGAATTATAATTTTGAATGAATGTGATATCAATGAGGAGCCCAATTTTTAAAAATGTTTTAAAAATTGGATTTTAATATAACAGTGTTAAAGTAGGGAGAAATAGAACATTTCCTGTTCCCAATGCAGAAAATGGGAGTTAAAGACTTCAATTTCAACTTTTACATGGACATTAAGCTCAGCTTCTCAATTTCTCATAACTTGTTGGTGTCAATTTAGTATTGAATTGTTTATATTAATGTTAAAATACTTGGCATTTTAATGATAAAATATTTTAAAGGATTTGGCATTTTTAATATAGTATATTTTTTCTTCCAGGATTGCATTGTGGCTTTCTGTCTTCATATCTTGGGCTTTTCAGTACAATCTCATGATAAATTTTTCCCCTTTTCTCCCCAGGTATTTTACAATTCTAATTAGTTATAGGCAGAATATTTCCCTTTTTCATACCTAAGAATTTATTTCTAATATTTTAAACTAAATTATTTTATTAATTCTCACAGGAATTTTACTAAAGTTATGTAGGTTTCAGCCATATAATTATATTAACAAAGAAATTTTATCATCTGAGCACTGGTAGCTCATGTTGTTCATAATAATTCTAGCCATTCATGAGATCTGAGAATTGAGACTCAAAACCAGGCAGAGTAGATATACTGATACTCCATCTCCAATTAACCAGCAAAATGCCCAAAGTGGAGATGTGGCTTAAGTAGCAGAGCACCAGGCTTGAGCAAAAAAGCTAAGCAAATGATAGTAAGAGGCACTCTGTTCACAGCAGTATCAGCAAAACAATTTAAAAAACAAAAACAAAAAATAAATAACTTCATCTCCTTTTCTCCATTGTTTTTTGTTGTATTTCATTTGGAAAAATCAACAGGAAAATATTAAACAATAATAGTATTTGCTGGCAAATTTTCTGTTTTCTGACTTTAAACATCATGGTTTTGTTTAGTGTAATATCTGTGCTTTCTATAGTCTTTTGTACATTAATATTCCTATTTAAATTAGGAGTTTTGCTGAGAATTACTGCTAGTTTTTATCAGATGCCTTTCAGCCTGGAGGACCTCATCTGGGTTGATGTGTAATAGACTCTGCTAATAGACTTTTGGCTACTGAACCAGATTTACATTTCTAGAAAAAAAATCACCCTAATCATTCTGTTAGTGGCAAAGAGTTTCTATAACAAAGTACCACACACTGGGTGGCTCAGAACTCTAGAAACATTGGTTCATAGTTCTGGGGCTGCAAGTTCAAAATTAAGACATCAAATTGTCAGTAGTGCTGGGTTCCCTCTGCAATCTATAGGAGAGGATTATTCATTCATGGTTGGTGCTCATCCTTTATCCACCCTCACAAGAGCATCTTCTGTTTCTCCTGGTGTCTTCTCTCTATGCGCATTTTTCCTTTCTATAAGATATTACTCCTACTGGATTATGGTCCTTCTGTGAAGGTTTGTTTCCAAATAAAGATCTGTTTCCTCTTAATGAGGAAGTAGGGTTAGGACTTCAATACAGCATTTTTGGGAGGTTACAGTTCAACCCATAATACCCATACTTTAGCAGTTTTGGTGTATCACTGATGGTGACTTAGAAATTAGTTCTGTGTCTTTAGTGAGGTTTGTATATAATTCACTCTTTTTCTACTTATTTTAAAGTTATACTGTCTTTATAACATGCATCTGCAGCTTTCTACCTTTATGGGTGGTCTAGAATATTTTAATATTGAAATTCGCAGTTCTTTAAAGACTAGAAAGATTTAGTTGTAAAACCATCCAGAGTTTATAAATCCTTTTGTTTGGGGGTGGTTGGTATATTCACTATTTTTTCTTAGATCATTTTGGTTATTTGTATACTTCTAGGAAATCTATCCCTCTTAATTTGTTCCCTCATTAGCAAAGTTATAGTATACTATAAATGGTTCGTCTCTTCTATATTCTGTCCTGTTGTTGGGCTGTTTGTTGAGACAGCATGTAGCCCATGCTGCATTTGAACCTTGCGATCTTCTGCCTCAGTTTCTGAATGCTGGGATTACATACAGATGTTCCACACCCAGACTACAGTGTATTGTTATGTTTCCTT